GTCATATTTAAAGCCTGCTAAGTAAATAATTAAAATTATTATGGAGCTTTTTCCTTAAGGGGTCCATCATAGGCACATTTCCCCTAAATACTTTTGTTTTGAAACCTGATATTTCATTACTGAAACAACCTAAGTCCATTTTAAAAATGTTATATTTATATAAGGGGCGATAAATTTTAATAAGGGGGTTTTGATAAATTCTTACATTAGGTGTAATCTATTAACTTCAAACTTCACTTTTAGTAAAAATGTTCGGATAAACTCTCAAAAAGTTTTTTTTCATCTCCTGCAAACTGTCCGAATATGACTTAAGGTTGTTTCTGAAATCAGCGATTCATATGTATTGTAAATATTTTAAGCATTATAAATAGAAATATATGAAATTATATATTTACTAATGACTTACGTTTTCCGGTTTTCCAACAGGTAACCCAAACAAACATTGTAGAACGGAGATTAAAACAACAAAGAAAAACACCGCTGACCACCATCTCATCGTGAAAGCCCCTCGAGTAACACTGACAATAACAAACAATAAAAATCTTAATATATCTAAGTACCTACACTTGCATGGAAATGCACCACGGTAATGGAATAAATGGTTCTATTTTATCTTTATATATACTTCCTATGCAGCACAAATCATTGAATTTAAGTTAGGAGACCTACTTTTGTCCAATTACTTGTTTTTTGTCCTACATTTATAATTGAGACGAAGAACTTTTGGGCATTTATCTTTTTAGGACAGACCTTGACGAATCGCGACTTAGTTTGAAGGGACTGTCTTTGTGTTAGTAAATATGTATAATTGGTAATGATATGAATTTTTACTGGATGTATCCTTTAATTTACCGTATGGATAAAATTTAGTCTGTTTTTTTCTTCCAAAGAATGTGAATGACTTTTCACACTATTGTCCAAATTACTCATACGTAGGTACATTTCATAAATTACGAGAATTTGGTATATTTTTTGAACAGTTCATGTTTGCTTTGAAAATATATCATATGAGTTGTCAATTTGTTATGATTTATAAAGCCACGTTTCAAAAGCATTAAATTTGTTGTGCATTAGAAATAGAGAAGATAGATGTCATTTTTCTTTTAAGGTCATGACTAGAAAATAATTTCTACATCCTCCAAATAATGCTATTGTTTTTTCTATTCTCCATAGATATCAAGAGAGTACCCAGCGAGGTACAGCAGGCTCCCTGGAAGCAAAAAATAAATAAATACTTGGTTAATAAATTGTGTTACTGCAAAAATACTACCCCAAAACAGTTAAGAACCGTTTTAGGTCAGGGATTCATCAAATTTACCCTAGAGTTAAAAATATAAATAAAAGTTTACCTTCTATTATAACTACTCAGTGGACAGATCTTTTGTAATAAAATTTAATTGTTGTTTAATATTCAGTTCCCTTCTTGAAAATGACAGCGACTGAATAGCAAATTTTTCCACTGAAGGTCTGTTTTTGCATTTGCCGGTAAGAGATCGGGATATATTTATGTCTTAACCTTTCAGTACACGCAGCTTGTCTAGGAGACCGGTGGGAGTCAATGACGTTCAATTATAAAGCCAATCGGGAGCTTTAGAGTTTCTCAGGCTCTATGGTACATTCGTTCAGCAAATTCCCAACTGTAAACAAACGCACGTGTTGATATTCGCCCTCTCATTCGTCAAGAGGCTATTAAATATAATTTATTGCCTTAAGCCAGACGGATTCTCATTTTACAGGTCCAAACTTGCCAGTCTGTTTAAATTCAAATTGTATTTTTAGCGTATTGGTTTTTAAGTTAATATATTGTTGTGTTATATGTTATAATTATTGTTAAAAACAAAAAAAGAGAAATCATACGATTTCTGCCTGGCGAAATCGAATTCAAATATAAGCCGCCGTGCCCCCTAAGACTCGCGATGCAAACAGCTTGATGAATGCATCGGCAAGGGAGTCTAAAAATTGTACTGCAAAAAACTATACCGTACTGAGGAGATCTAAAGAGATCGAAATACGTATATGCGGCTTGTTGCTGCGCTGTATCAAATCAAAATATAATACCGTCATTTGTTTTGTTTATTTACTTCATTTGGAGTACCAGAGTTCAATCCGATTGAGCTCATCTGGTCAGAAGTAAAAAATTATGTAGCAGCCAAAAACACTACTTTTAAATTTGCAGATATGAAAAATATTTTTTATGATGCAATAAATAATATTAGTCCAACTACGTGGCAGAAATGTGTGCAACACGTTCAACAAAAAGTCGAGTCCAAAATGTGGAAGTTGGACAATATAATAGAGAACCATATCGAACCCATAATAATAAATCCAGACGAAGACAGCAGCACATGTAGCTCCTCAGACTCTGAGTAATTTAAATGGTATGTTTTTATGCTTTGATAAACTTATGACAATGCTACTTTATTCAAAATGTTCACTTTGTTATGTATCTCTCAGTTAATGAATATTTTATTTTAGCACATTTTTCTTCAATGGAACATTAAATTTTGCTCACAATGATTAAATTTCAAGAAATTCTTACACTAATAGTTTCAAAAGTAAATATTTTTAAAAATCATATGATACACCTCAGTACGACCCTGTTTGGCTTTCACGTGCGTTTGTTGACAGTTGGGAATTTGTAAAATGAATATAAAATAATTTAATCTAGCATTCAATTAATATGCGCCCTAAATGTAAGTTCTACTCCTAATTATGTTATCAAACCCTACCTTTACAATATGTCGTATTTTTTAGATTTGTTTTGAGTAAAATTGAGAGCAGTGGTATAATTATTCATAACTTGGGCTATATGATTTGTAAAGGATCGCTTATAGTTCTGTCTACGTGATAGATATTGATAAGATATCACGTTTTCTTTAATAACTTCTTCAACTCTGTGCACTTACAAAAAAAACTTCAATCAGAATGTATTTATGCGTGCGGTACTGTCAGAACTAACCGAAAAGATATCCAAAAAACTTGGCATCTGACAAAGAATTACACATCCAGGACAATCGGACTGGAGGGTCAGCAAAGATGGACTGGTGTTTGTAAAGTGGAGAGACCGGAAAGTAGTGCATTTTTTGGGAAATCATCAAAACCCTTCAGAAGAAGCAACTGTTTCCCGCAAGCAAAAGACGGAAATTCACAAGTCGTGGCCTGTCCAACGATGGTCAAAGAATATAACCAGCATATGGGCTACGTTGACAAAACAGATATGCTGAAATCTGTGTATGAGATTGACCGCAAATCAAAGAAATGGTGGCACCGAATTTTGTGGCATTTCATAGATATATGTGTTGTGAATTCTTTTATTCTTTTCCAACAAAAAGCGAAATGCGCGGTTCCAAACCTGAAATTTTTTAGGTTATCTGTAGCTTCAGGGTTAATCGGCGCCAGTGGTAGTAAACTGTCACGAAGTAGAGTTGCTTCTCCTACAGTCACAGGGAAACATTTCAAAAAAATTGTGCCTTATGAGAAACGCTTTGACCAATGTTTGCATATGCCACAACACGGGACATCTAGACGATGTGCTTTTTGTAGCACTAGTAAGATTCTACAGAACCAGGTGGGAGTGTGCGACGTGTAAGGTTGGATTGTCCTTAACGAAAAAAAGAAACTGTTTTTCGTTGTATCATAAAAAGTAACCTACGTTTTATATATTATTTAGTTATCAGATTTTTATTTGCTTAAGAAAAATCTTTAGTTTCCTAGTGGTATCATGTCTAAACCATAGCCTATTAAAAAAATACATAAATAATATGTTTCACTTTTTTGTCTCTTAGGGGCCCAATAGAGTAAGATTATTTAATTTTTACCTCAATTTTTGATTTTAAATTTTTCAGGAAACAAAGGGTTAAACAAGGAGAGAGTACATTTCACCTTTTTCATTTCTAAAGGTTACAACGATGAAAAAAAAAAAAAAAAAATAAAGGACCAAGGCTCAACCTCCCCCTCTAAGACTGGAACACGCCACCATTTACAAACTCTCTTCGTTCAATACTGACTCTTGAGTTTTAACCTTGTTTAGGTTGCGCCTCTTCAAGGAATGGTGGGAACTCACTTTTTTTTTAGACTGGAGTTGTGATAACGTAATTAAGCGAAACGCAATATGATAGAGCAAATTACCAAGGAAAAGAAGCTGGTTATTTGTGGATCGGATAGAACGCACCAAGAAGTTGGTATTGCCTGCATGCAGTGTAAGGATTCAGGGGTTACCAGCCATACGGTAGGAATGGCTCTTTATTTAGCGTTTATGGCGCCGCAGTATTTATTGCGATAGTAGATGGGGAAAGTTTCATCAATTCAAAATACCTTTCAGGGAAGTTCAGGTCAGCGTAGTTGTCAGAAGTTTAGATGGATGGGAATGGAACTTTCTTGGCAGTGGTACCTGGTGAGTATTTGCCCTCTATGGAACAAGGCGTCTTTAGTATTTGTTTTGCTTTGGTTGTTCGAGCAGCTCTGGTTCTAGGGACATACTTCCTGCTGAGGGTTAGGAATCATGTCCTTAATTGGCGTGATGTTAGCCAGGGCGTATATGTGGGCTGATGGATACAGGCCAATCTTTTCTCATAAAGTGCGCAGAATATCCGGTCGTGGTGGCCTTGTGATGGCGTTTTTAGTAAGTTCGTGGCTCCTCAGAGAAAAGGTAAACGAAGCCTTGTATTCGAGTATCGGCCTGATAAAAGTATTGTAGGTGTGCAACAAAGTTTTTAGAGGGACGTTCTCCAAGATTCCGGTTAGCACTTTCAGGAGATTAAACCTCCGTCTCATCCTATCAAGGGATTATGGATGTCCACCCTTCCAATTGAGAGTTTCTGTAAAAACGAACTCCCAAGTAGAGAACTGAGTTCCTGAGGAATATGGTGCCCTCCCAAAAGTGTCACCGGCCCTGGAGGGTCGCGTCCGTAAAAAATTTGAAGACAATTGCTTGGTTGTTGGATGGGGTTCAGGTGACCTCCATCTTGTTGCACTAACGTTCAATAAAAAAAAACAACTATATAAATAAATATTTTATTAAAAGCATAGAAAATAACAATCTTCAATAAATAAAATCTTTACATCGTTCCTGATTTATCTGACCATCCCTCAACAAGGCACAATTCAGTTAATAAAATTACAAAAATACAGTTAGTCTTGAATTCTAGCTAGCACGGCTGCTCTCCTATCAGTATTCTGAAACAGAGCTCTTATGAGCGTCTTCAGCTCCACCGGCTTAAACTGCAGCGCCAACGGACCTTTACCGTCTGCCCAACGGTCACTGATGTCTATTAAACTTGCTCCCAGAACAAAATTGAGCTCATTGAGTTTGTACCATGAGGGAACATATATACTTATTTCTTTGCTGTCAGTGAATAACTTTGGACCTCGACTGAGTATAATTTTTATGAGCTCCACTAACTGCTCTCCTAAATTAGTCGATATATCTTCCAAGACGATTATAGGTGTGATAATATTGGTACAAAGAGTGTTGAGTATAATACCTAACGTTTCATTATATATCCGGTATGATAGAACTTTGTGCCACACAGTTTTCAACAGTTCTTGTTGTCTAATGCACTGCCGGATACATTTTTCTGTAACTGGCTGTAATTCCCCGGCTAAAGCAACTTCTTGCAGCCCACTATCTTTCATAATTTCGTTTATTTGTTTCATCTGTCCTTTAACATAATTATTAAATATTTCAGAGCCCACTTGTCTCAACTGGCACACCTCTAGCTCGAAACCTGTACTGGAAATGTTGAGAGTAGAATGTGCCTTGAATAAATACATCCCGTTCCATTCTATCAGCTTGTGAGCTATGTAAAAACAATTATTATGGAACAGTGCTACTTGTTGTGGTATAGTCTTCAACAACTTATTGTGGTACTCAGGCACGAACTTTGTGTAGTTCCTAAAGATATTCTGTATCGTTACCAAAATCCTACCTGCATTTACATCAGTACTTTTAACAGATTGTTGCAAAATTTTTTCACAAAAATTCAGCAGTTCTATCACATTTTTTGATATACAACATTGTAAAAATTGTCCAACTCCACACTCCAACGGATTATTTGGATTGTAAGGCTCTCCAACTTCTATCATATCATGTAAATCTTTTTTCATAATTTGCTCTGACTGCACACAATACTCTCTACATTTCTTGTTAATGAACAATATATCAATGTTATTTGCATATTCTATTAAAGGTGTAGCATCTTCGGAAAATAGTTTAGAGTGTTTTAAGGCTTTTTCCAGTTTTTCAGTCTCCTCAGTTACTACTTTGTAGTTTTTCAAGCCTTCGACTGTAGAAGGTATAGTATCCTGTAAACAATGCTTTATTAGTAGCTCTGATAAATTATCTCGGATATCCAGACCAACATATTCCAATGTAGTTAATCCATTATCTGAAGTTGTTAATGGAAAACTAAAATGCTGCTCTAAAAAACTTAAAAGAGTCTTTATATTGGAAAAAACTACACCATATTCCGACTTCTTATCAGCTTCTTTAACAACTAATTCTATTAATGAATACTGCCCGTTTTGGTCTATTTTAATATCTACAATGTTATCAACTATAGGAACAAAAAAGTTGTTCCACAAAAACCTATTGAACTCACTTAATTTGAGATTACATTTATGGGTATCAGTCTCATTATAAAACATAGCCAGTAAGGCTTGTTCCAAAGTGCTAATATTTGACGAAATTTTAATACTAGCAGTACTATCTTTATGTTGTGTGATTACATTTTCTTTAAATATGTTTTCGACCTCATGGGCTAGACCTATTGACTTTTCCTTGACTTGGCGTTTCAATTCTTCAATAACTGCCACTTGTTCATCTTCAGGTATGTCTGCCAGGGTTTTTTCTAAACCAGTAATGATTTGCATGCATCTTAGGTACTCTCTGTAGTCTAATTGAGTGGTAAACTCAACTAATTTTTCATTGACCTGGGACATTTTTAACAGTACCTGCAAAAGTAAAGGTATACATCAGTGTTTGCACCAATCATGATGTTACACTTTATTACACATCATGAACTCATCACTTTATGAACATCAAATTACTTGAGGTCATTTTAATTATAATAAAACAAATATCTGTTTGAGCTTTGAGTAAACATAAATAGTTTTAATCAGGATTTGCATTGATACCTCATAAGTAAAAAACGAATGTCTTTTCATATTAGTTGGTGATATCAATATTAAGGGAGAAGGAGAAAAATAATATACCAACAGAAGAAGAAGTTGCCAACAAGTTTTCAAGACAGAAACCATCAAACAAATTAAGGAAGAAATTATTACTCCTTTAACTTTTCTCATTAATACATGTTTTCAGGATGGTTGTTTTCCAGAATGTCTGAGAATAGCAAAATCAAATCTTTGTTTAAAACAGGAAATAAAGATGTGATTAACTACAGTCTCGTTGTTATCTGTTTTTCCAAAATATTTGAAAAAATTTTAAAATATAGATTAGTAAGTTTTTTGGATAGGTTTAGTATAATATCGGATTGCCAATACGGTTTTAGAAAAAGAAAATCGACACAAGATGCTCTTTGTAAACTAACATCACAAATATCAGAAGCTTTTGAGCCTAATAAATGAAGTTTATGCAAATTCGTTAGTTTATGCATACTGTAAGGCGTTTGACATGATATTTCACAAGATCTTGTTGAAAAAAATTTAGAAGTATGGTCCAAGAGGATGGGTTTTGACATTACTAAAAAGTTACTTAACTGACAGAAAACAATTTGTAGAAATTGATGGTGCCAAAAGTGATCCTAAAGTAAATAATTATGGTGTACCGCAAGGGACCGTTTTAGGCCTCTACTTTTTACACTCTATGTTAATGACATGCTCAAACTAAAAACTGTTGGAAACATAATTAGTTTTTTTTAAGGTTAAAGTATGTTTATTGACATTTGAATTTCCACTTCGATTAAATAGTTTTGCTGATGACACCACAATTTTTAAACAACAGTACTTTTAAAGTTAAATTAATAAAGAATTGGACCAAAAACAGTTAATCTAACAGACAATAGAAGCTGCTCAAACTGGTAGAAGCATTTCAAAATGGGGTAATATGGGACAGCTTTAGAAGAGTTTGTTTAATAGAATTATGACACCCAACTCAAAAAAAGGTTAGTGAAAATCATGTTCAAAACATACTTTGATATGTTTCTATTTCTATATATTGTGGGAAGAATGAACAGATATGGAGAAATGCACATTTAGTAATTAAATGTACATAGTAGCAATCAGATTCTCAATACAAAATAATAAATACAATGTCCTGGAAACTACACTTTGGAAATATTTAACGAAACACATTTACAGTAGACTTTGGGAACTTTTATACTGCTAAAGGCAACTGTTAATAATGTAATAACAAAATCACAAAAAGTACTACCTGTAAGGAAAAATCAATGGTGTTCAAACTATCCACATGCTCTGTAAGCTCGTTATTGGCCTTCAACAGTTGCTTCTTAACGGCATTCTCTGCATGCTTCTGCAACGTATTTATCTCGTTTTCAAGATTTTGGGCCGTTAACAACATTTCTTTATTCTGTTTGGGCCTACCACTGTACTTGATGTACACATTTTCTGTGTATTGCACTAATTCACTCTTAAGTTTATCTATAGATAATTTTAATTCGGGAACCTTCTTATTGATCTCGTCCACTTCGATTTCTTCGGCTGAAGATATAACTTCTGCAAGATAATTCATTGTTACTTTACGTTTTTAATAACAATTACAAACCAATACAAAACAAATCTGACATTTAGGTGTAACGTTTAAAATTGTCCTCCTCTTTTTTTTAGGATGTAAAAATTGCGTGACTCGTACTCTGTAAGTATACAGCAATTTGTATTAGTATTTTACGAGGGGTAACTAATAATAATTGAGCCATCTCATATTAAACTTGTCTTATCCACGTTATGTAGTTTCTTGTAAAATCGAAAAAACCTTTACCGAAGTTATTTTTTTACGAGCGAAAAGGTACACCAAGTGTTAATATACAATAAAATGTAAGAAAACTTAAAATTATTTATTTAACGTACAATATCATTTTGTAAAAAAATAAACAAAATGGATAGGCAAGTTTTGATCCGTCAATTTGGATTTGGCAAGTTATGCTACAAAAAAAATAAGAATCCCACTGGGTTTATGGAGGAAGTTTTTTTATTGTTGTTTAAAGACATTATTTCAAGCAAAATATAATATATTGTAAACTAAATTCTTAGTCTTTATCGTCTCCTGTTTTCACTGGCTCACAAAAATGGTCTTCGTCAAGAACTTCTTCAGGATTAGGTTCTATCAATGGTTGCGCTATTCCCTCAAAAACATCTTTAAAGAACTTTAAATTCCCCTTTGTTTTCCATTCCCTTCCAAAATGCTTCTCCAATAAATTGTTTACATCCGTTAACTTGGCAGATTTTACTGGTACACCCATTGGAATAACTTCTGGAGAAAGATGCTCCTACTTTTTGCCTTTTTTTTTAAATTGACTTGGATATTCCAGTGTCCGAGCAATAGAAAGGTTCTCCCTGAACCATAACATTTCCACTACGATTTTTTGTTAGTATAAATCTCTTGGCATCGAAAAACTTAAAATGCCAGGAGTCAGTGGCGGGTTTTGGGGGGTAGGCAGAATATTCCGGGCCTACCCAATAATTTTAAAAGCTTTAAAATTGAAAAACATATATTCAAAAATTATGTTAATGCATGTAAATAACTTTTAAATGTACTAAATCACTCAATGTATTAACGTCCGTTAAAACAACTATGTTATTATATTACCACAGAAAGCATCGAATCGTATTCAGGCATTTTAAATATCATTAATAGGCCCGATCGGAACTGGCCGACCCAGCTCACATAAGATACCCGTACAAAAAGCATTTGAAGTTAAGCAGCTTGCCGGACAACAATTTTTATTGTCGTCTTTATGATTGCTGTTTAGGCACCAGACGATTGGGCCTACACCGACCATCGTTGTCACTTGTAACGTAATTATCAAATTGTAATATAAATTTTCTTTTAAATTATGATAAAAAAATATGTAACATAATCTATAATTGTAACAAATTTTTAAACAAACAACACAAATGTTTTGTATGAGAACGCCATAAATAACTCCACATTTTTTGATGCATTTTTGAAGAAACAACCGATATTACTGAAAGGGCACAATGTTTAATAGTATGCAGATTCGTGGATATAAAAGGCGTTGTTCAAGAATATTTCTTAGGTTTTTTTTATCTAGGGGAAGACCAAAGTGCTCCAGCGTTACGTGACTTACTGTTTAGTTTAATTGGTAAATTTGACTGTAAAGCTAAATTAATTGCTCAAACCTACGATGGAGCTAGTGTTATGTCGGGACAACTTAATGGACTTCAAAAATTAGTGAGATATTCTGCACCATTAGCAATATTTACCCATTGTTTTCCTTCACCGCCTCAACCTAGTTTTACGGCAAAGTTGCTCCAATTCATTACAACAGTCAAAATATTATTCTCAACGCTTCAAGATATTCCAGCTTATTTTCACCAATCGTCCAAACGGTCCTATTTTTTAAATAAAATACTTGGAAAACGAATTACCACAAATAGTGATGTAAAATGGGATTTTAAATACAAAAGTAGTATTTGCTGTGTCACAAGAACGAAAAAATTGTTTATAGATACTGATGCAGATAAATTTAGGATTATGATTCCACGTGATTGGTGTCAGTTTGTAAGAGCTGTCCCTGGCAAAAAAATATTTAATGTGATTGAGATGGACTTGACCGATTTCAAAAGCTTTTCATCTCTTTTAGTTAAGAATAACGTTTTGGTACATCGTAATCAAGATACTGAAAAAAAGCCAGTCGAGTGGCTAAAGATAAAATGGTTGAGATACACTAAAGAATTTGGAGTCATTCGTTACAAATATGATCTGAATCAATTTTCTTTATTTCGAACACTTTATCTGATTCGCAACAGAAAAGGCCGACAGATCTGTGCAAAAAATATTGAAGTTTAGAACTCCTATGCCAGTACCATTGGAGTAAATTCTTTAAAAAAGAAGAACCTCTTATCGTTGTTAACGTTAATAGATAATGAGTTCCATAATTTTTACAAAAAGCTGCCGATCTCTCTAACAGCTCCAGAATTCGATGAGCTAAACAATACGCAAGACGACTCCGAGACTGAAGAACAAGCAAACTCCTAGTTCACTCTTTGTACAACTTTTTTTGTTTATTAAAGTTATATTAATTTCATGAGATGTTGAGTTCTGTCCCTAGTAGGTAAACAGCTATCAAAACTTAAATTGTAAGTATTTGTACAAAAAAAAACTAACTTTCTGTTTTTTTAGTCGTATTATTGATTTTTCGATTACAAAAACATGGTCAAGTAGAAGATGGCAAAACTTATTATGTTCAACAACCTTTAATAACTTTGATATTTAACAAAAATTCACTTACACACTTAACTCTTTCAATAATTGGTATTTAAGCTCTAGGAAAATTATTAGTTATAAATTGTACGTTAATATTTAGATTTACCAGAGACATTTTATCTTAAAATAGCTCTCCTGTAAACTTAGCGAAACTCGATATATCAAGGTATGGCTTCTTTCCACAGAGTTATAACCATATTTTTACTTATCTTCGACATAGTGCTACAAATATTGGGAGAATTTGCTAATAATTTTCTCAGTACAGCGAACCGTAAGTCAAAACTTTCATCCTTGATCCAAAATTGTCGTAAATTCGTGAAATATACTATACAGTAGTATCAAATGCAGTAAACAAAAAACCACACAACTGCACTAATGTAGTTATTTCTAAAAAATCTTGTCCGCGTCTTATCACTCTTCCAATATATAAAACTAACGAATCTTTTTATTAGCGTCGGCAGTTGGCTATTCCACAACCAAGGAAATAGGTATGGTTTTTATTAAAGGCAGGTCGATCGTAGTCCTAGTTTTAGTATTATTTTGTCTATCCTACCTCAAGCATTGTCGCGTGCACGCGATCCCGACTTCGGTTAAAAATCACGAATACAGAGCCAGCGGCACGTTACAAACATTTCCAATTCATTACATTGCAACGATGTGTTTGTAAACAATCGCAGTAAAACAATAAGAGGTGAGTGTTTTAAATTAAGGGTGGTGGAGGATAATGGGATAAATATAAAGTTCATGAAAGTTTTAAAATGTTTTAAAGTGAGTAATTTTTAATTATTATTTATAACTGGGAATAAGCCACATTAAAGATAAAAATACATTTATTGACGTTTCAATTTCCAATTCGGAAATCGTTCTCAAAATACAAATAGTAAATTAAACAAATTTTGTTTTTTGTTACATAGTGAAAAAATTCTTCTGATAATTTAATTTTATCTGACTCATTTATATTGACAATTCAGACATACATTATGCATTTTAAAGTAGACGACTTTAAAATGATATTGCCAATATTGTTGAGTTGCGCTCCTGGGACGACTTTACTTATAAGATAGTTCATTCGATTACATGAAATCAACTTTAACTTGAGAATATCCGTCAGAAAAAATCATAGCATGTAATTCGTCTTTAAAAAGACAAACACATGACATGATGACAGTAAAATTCTCCTGTTAGTGATTCCATAGTAAATTATGAGGGAAAAACCAGGAAAAAAACCTCATAATACTATCCCGACATTGTAAGTATTTGTTCGTGAATTTAGTTTACCTTCAACAAACATCAAAATTCTGATTTTATGTTACGTTATTTAAAAAACATAAATGATGTATCCTCTATATGTTACTGACTTACTAATACTGGTATTTTCTTATTAATAACTTCCTCTTTCAATATTGGTAACCAGATCCTACTACATTCTGCCGAGGAATTTGCGACACAATTGGCCTCATTTAGCATAATTAGAGCCGCTTCTTTGATTTTTCTTTTTTTACCATCCGTTTCTTTTAGGACTATATTTGAATTATTCCATTGAACCCTATGTTCATTATCCCATGCGTGTTTACATATTTGAGATCTATCAAATTCTCTATTTTTAATATAAGATTGATGTTCACTTATTCTAACATTTAATGGCCTTGATGATTCACCTAAATAAAACTGATCGCATTCACAAGGTATTTTATAAATGCAATTCTTTGTCCTTTCTTGTTCATTGTTAGGTTTGGTTTTGGACAAAATAGATCTCAACGTGTTTGTTGTTTTGAATGTTGTTGAAATGTTGAATTTATTTCCTATCCTTTTAAGTTTTTCTGATAATCCTTTTATGTACGGTATTGTTATTTTCCTCATATTATTCCTTGTGTATGCTGTAGGATCTCGTTCTAAGTTGTTCTGTTCTATTCGATCGATTGTTGAAAATTCCTTATTTATAAACGATAAAGGATAATCATTTTTTAATAAAACAGATGTTAACAAATGTTTCTCCTCCAAGAACGAATTTTCGTTAGAACAAGTAATTTTGGCTCTATCGTATAAGGATTTAATTATTCCCTTTTTTACATTAATATTGTGATTTGATTTGAAATTTAAATATCTATTGGTGTGTGTTGGTTTTCTATACACCTGAGTCTCATATCCAGTATCGTTCTTAGAGATTAAAACATCCAGGAAAGGTAGCGTGTTATTATATTCCTTTTCCATGGTAAATGTTATTGTCTCTTCTTTATCGTTTATATCGTTTAGGAATGTGTCCAACAACTCTGATCCATGAGGCCATATTGAGAATACATCATCTACATACCTCCACCATACTGTGGGTTTGAAATTTTGTTTAG